ATTTTCCACAAAATTCATGTTTGGATATCGGTTGCCGGTATAAGATGGTCCGGGGACTACTGGTTCACGATTTTCCACAAAATTCATGTTTGGATATCGGTTGCCGGTATAAGATGGTCCGGGGACTACTGGTTCACGATTTTCCATTACAAAATCTATGTTTCGATATCCAGGGACTAATGGTTCACAATTTTCCATTGCAAAATTTATGTTTGGATATTGGTTGCCGGTATAAGATGGTCCAGGGACTGCAACATTTGGCGTATGGCTTGATTGAGATGGTTCAGGGACTTCTACAGCGTAATTTATGCTTCGTAATAGGATGCTTCGAGGTGGTTCAGAGGTTTCTGATTCAAAACGTTCCGTTACAAACGTTTGGTTTGGATTATTGATTGCTACTGATTCGTTATTCGATGGACCCAAACTATTTGTTAATTCATCGCTTCGAGGTTGTTCAGAGGTTTCTGGTTCAAAACGTTCCGTTACAAGCATTTGGTTTGGATTATTGATTGCTACTGATTCGTTATTCGATGGACCCAAACTATTTGTTAATTCATCGCTTCGAGGTGGTTCAGAGGTTTCTGGTTCAAAACGTTCCGTTACAAGCATTTGGTTTGAATTATTGATTGCTACTGATTCGTTATTCGATGGACCCAAACTATTTGTTAATTCATCGCTTCGAGGTTGTTCAGAGGTTTCTGGTTCAAAATGTTCCATTACAAACGTTTGGTTTGGATTATTGATTGCTACTGATTCGTTATTCGATGGACCCAAACTATTTGTTAATTCATCGCTGATTGTTATTAATTCGAGATTCGGTAACTCCAAATTATTTTCTGCGCTTATTGACTTATCATCCTCTTCATCCTCTTCATCCTCATCCTCATCCCCATCCTCAGCCTCAGCCTCATCCTCATCCTCATCCTCATCTTCATCCTCATCCTCATCCATATCATATCCTTGCCACTCTAAGGCTGCTTTTACAAGATCAACTGTTACCTGAAAATAGTACGAATTATGAGTTTTCACCCAAAAAGACGCGTCACAATTAAAATTTAAATGTAAGATGAATAAATTACTAAATTGTCTGGATGATCGCTAATCGGACATGCTTGCATCAAGGTTAATATGTCATTTATGACAACGTTTAACCAGTCACGTATGAGATCATGAAACGAGACAAAGGTAGAGCGTAAAATCGCCGTGTTCAGGTGCTTAGTGTAACGCCTTCATTATGAATCGCAAATAATGTTTTTTAGTAACATAAATTTGCATGCGGCTATCATACAAAAGAAAAACAGAGTTTCGACGCACTGATGAGCCAAGAGTAAAGCATTTTTCAAATGAAATAGCTCGAGCTTCCTCAACACCTCAGCGGGAATTGGTTGGTAATTCTCCACGTCCGCGGTCATCAATGCCTCGCGTTGTTCCCTCTCACACAAAAACTTACTCTGGCTTTCTTCCATCTCTAGCCATTGATCACTCATCTCCCTAGCCGACGGAAATTCACACAAATCCAATGATTTTACCGTTCCAATCATTTTATAATAATTAAGCTCGGATTCCAGCAAGTCAAGATACATCATCACGCTTATTACATTTTTACCAATTCTCCGGGCGATCTCCTCCGGATTGTGTTTGCCACAGCGTGAAAGCGCATTAAAAAATTGTTCTTTGTCGTCCTCATCCCATTTTAGAGAATGCAGTAAACCCTGCTTTTTTCGGCACAAACCACTACCATACATGAACGGACTTTCTTGTTCCACACATATCGAAGTTTCGGTATCCACGACGAGCGTGGCGTATGTTAGTTTATCAATATCTTGTACGTTCACTTGCTCGGTTACGTTGAGAAGTTCCTCAGATCTCGGAAGGTATTTTCTCACTTGATCTTGTATCGCTGTTTTCCTCATTTTTTTTGAAAAGTGAGTTGCACCAAGTTAGATATATAAATACGAATCATGTGATTGTCAGAAAAAATAAGAAATTGGTTTGATCAACGAAATTCTTGTTCTTCCAACTTAGAATTAGCCGTTAATTTTCTACACGATGGTGAGTCTTTCTTTTAAAGCATCTTTATGGCAATCTTTCGCTTAAGAGATTCATCCATCTTCGATGATCTCATCTACGATACTACTAAATAACAGGCTCCTGTAAAAGCTTTTGAACTTCGAAATAAAAACAAAGAGGAGCTGACTAAACAACTTGATGATCTTAAACAAGAACTTGGCAATCTTAAAGTACAGAAAATCGCGGGTGGACAAACATCAAAATTAACAAAAATGTGAGTTCAATCAAGTAAACTTTTTTTACAATGACGTCGCAATTTCTTAAACAAGCGATCAGTTTTTTTTATCATACGCGCAAAGATGCTAAAATTGTATCAAATAATCATAAAAATGATCCTTTTTATTAAAAAAGCCGTGAAGTACGCAAATCAATCGCACGAGTAAAAACCGTTTTCACTCAGATTCAGCGTGCACACTTACGAGCCTTCTATAAGAACAAGAAATTCCTGCCGCTTGACCTTCGACCCAAAAAAACCCGCGCCATTCGTCGCCGTCTGACCAAGAAAGAAGCATCTGCTAAAACTTTACGGTATAATTTTTCATCATATATGCTTTCCTTTCTCTTCTCTCCCGATGATAATAATTAATTTTGATTCTTCATCTCAACATGTCGCTGTGTTCTTCTTTTTTGGGGGGGGAATCATTGATAATTGATCAGAACCAAAAAACGAGATATTCACTTCCCACCTCGAAAATTCGCTGTCAAAGCATAATTACAAGATGTATATTATTTACATATAATAATCCCATAAAACATGGTATTCATTCTAAATTAAAACAATCATATAGTGATATGAGACATTTATAGAATCATAATTTTTGCAGAAGTTTTGAATATTATTACCAGCCATTTAAAAAAATTGTACTACGATGAGATGCAGATGATGTAACTTTGATAACAATGACATGTCCATTTTATCTTTAACATACACATGACTATTGTTTTCGTTTGAAAAAATATTTTTACGAATTCGCCTCCTCGATATCTCGTAGCTTTCGTGCATGTTTTTGTAAAACCTTCAAGACACTTTACAAAGGATAAAACATCTCGTTATTAAGAAATAGCCAGCATTTTGTAATCAAATTCTTATTAGTCATTTTTTTATGTGGATAATGGTAGAACGATAAAAACTTACTCGTCTATCTTCATCGTTTCATGGGCAAAATCAAGTGTCTTACCATCCCCTAAAAAAATCAAAATAAAAATTAAGATCCGATGAAACTAATTAATGACGAGAAAAAAACAAGGGCAAAAGGATTAACTTACGAAACGTCACATTTATACTCGGTTTTTCGTTAATATCGGTAGAAACTGTCGTATTTATTTTTATGTGCGGATTTAAGAGACGAGATTCGTCCGTCATCACACGAGACAGAAATATTCTATCCGTTCACATGAAAAAAATTAGATGAATTTTCTTTTTTGAATTTTTACGAACCGGAATTACGAACATATCAGTACAAGATTATGGTTATTATAGATGTAACATTAAGTACCGAGGCGTTCGTGCATTCTTAGCGAACGGCGAAAATTTGACGTTAATTTCGTTTATGTACTTGATCATTATCCTGAAGAATCAAAATTTTTTTTTTCGATTAAGGAAATTCGCGATAATTATTGCCACACATGTATGCAAGATCGTTATTCTGAGGAATTAAATTTAAGAACTCCCAATCTTTATAACCAATCAAATAAACCGGAAATAATAAACACACACTCTTTTATTATAATAATACAACATGTACCCAGTGGGGCAATCAATCATGTTAATAAAAAAAAAAGGTGGGTGAGTAAAAGTTTGGTGTTTCCTATTAATTAATCGACAAAGAAATTTCGGATGCATCTAATAAATAGGTAATTATCTGGTTTTTGCTGCAAGCCCCAAATAGCATCTAGAAGGTTGTGCGTTTTGCTAACCGCACGAACAAAATACGTGCACAACGAAAATTCGGATAATTTTATCTGACTTTAAAAAAAAAAAGCTTGCTGTTTAACTCTGAAAATAGAGATAGATAGAACATTGACTAACCTAACCATTCCATCATCCGATATTCGATTGTATTACGACATGTGCGTGTAACCACAAAAAAAATAAGTAGGCGAGAGTCTCTTAGTAAATAAAAAAATTTATTGTGCACTTGAACGACAACGAAAACGACGTCGCTCGGCAACACATATTACTCCCTTCTCTTCTCCCTTGAGAGTGCACCGAATAAATCACCAATATGGAAATAGAACCAAGTTACATTCACGACGCAGAGAATGGTGGGCGAGTGCCCGTTTTCAAGCCAACCATGGAACAATTCAGCGACTTTTACAAGTTCGTAACGGCCATTAGCAAGTATGGCAAGCAGGCTGGCATAGTTAAAATTATTCCGCCAAAAGACTGGTAGGTTATCCTTTCATATCTTGAATTCTTATGAGCCCCATGCCCTTTCCTCTAACCATGCGAATATCCTCTTCATTTCGGTCCGTTGGTCGTTATAAATATAGGTCGAATTCGCTTCCTGATCTTACTGACAAGCTTAAATCGAAAAAGATACGACATCCAATTGAACAAGTCTTCAACGGCAGCAAGGGAATCTATCGACAAGATAACATTGAGAAGAACCGTTGCTATACGCTGAAACAATGGCGTGCACTGTGCGAGTCACCGAACCATCGACCACCCACTCGCAATTACACCCAGACAAAGCAAACGCCAACTCCATCACCTAACGGAAGTAAAAAACGTAAATTGGAAGTGCAATTACAGTCCGAGAAAGCTAAGGCGGAGAAAATTCAAAAACAGGAGTCTACCGAATTCGGTTCGAGGAATTCAGACGACGAAGTTGACATGGTGGATAAATTGTCAAATAGCAGCAGCAATAATAATAACGAGGATGAAGGGAGTTTCGATTATCGCATATATAATCAAGCTCAATACACCAACGAATACTGCAAGGAAATAGAGAGGGATTATTGGCGCACTTTACCTTTCAATAATTCCCTTTATGGTGCTGACATGATTGGTAAGGAACACGCGAAAAAAAGAATACATAAACGTCATATGCATGTCTTTCTCTCATTTTTATTGAAATTTTTATGCGCGCATTTTTCGTCACGTAACCCCCCTTTGATCATTTTTCCCCGAATAAAAATAAACAGGCAGCCTTTTCGATGCAGAAATCACCAAAACCTGGAATGTCGACCGGTTAGATAATCTCCTAAACAGGATAAATGTCAACATCCCCGGTGTCAACAGAGCTTACCTCTACTTTGGCATGTGGAAAGCCACTTTTGCGTGGCATGTTGAGGTATGCAAAAGTGGATTTCATTCATGATTGGGTAAATGCAATGAAGCATTACTGTTTTTATAACCAAACCTGCATTTCCCAGGACATGGACCTCTACTCGATAAATTACATCCATTTTGGTGCACCCAAACAATGGTACGCTATTCCTCCCCCGTATAGCAGGAAATTCGAAACTGTCATGCGAGGTTAGTTTGTGTACATTGTGCAACTATACATTAAACTTTGTCAGCATTTTCCTTTTCGGGAATGATGCTGCTGATAATAGAGAATAATATACGTATATGAAATTGAAGGATACTTTTCGCACGAGTACCAAAATTGTCGCGAATATCTTCGGCACAAACAATTTATTGTCAAGCCGAGCATCTTGTCCGAAAATAATATTCCAGTCAACCATTTAGTTCAACATGAAGGAGAATTTGTCATCACCTTTCCGTATGGATACCACGCTGGCTATAATCTAGATTATAATTGTGCAGAATCGGTTAATTTCGCCCTCGATGACTGGATTCCCATCGGGAAAAAAGCGGGCGCGTGTAGATGCCAAAATGATAGCGTCAAAATTGATGTTGCTTCATTCTTCGATGAACGAATTCCAGAAGTAGTTGTCCCGGCTCCAAAAACTCGATTGATTTTGTTGCCGACTCCTCCGCGCGAAAAGAAAATTTTGAAATCGAGGAAGGAAATTAATGATGATGAGGAGGTTGTTGATCGAGAAGAGTTGAACGCAGATTATGAATTTGAACAAAAAAGTCCAGGCACATCCACACCGACACCTCATTATCCGGATTATCTGAAAGATGATTCTTCATCGTCTATCGATCTTGAGGACGAAGGATTTATGGAAGAGGATAAAAAATTCAAAGCTACTGTCGTTGTTGATAATGGTGATGAAGAAGATATGATTGTCGTTCATAAACCGAAATTGCGCATAATACATAAAAATCAAAAAATTCAGGTATTTCCTGTTGGGACATTAAAAAGTCAAACCACCTTTTATATTTCAATTTTTAATTAGTTCATGCTATCGTGTATGTAGTGCATGCTGTGTCCTGTGGAAGGAGGTCAGTTATTTCGTACCGAAGAAGACGGATATGCTCATCTGTAAGTTTGCTGCCATTTTTGATTATAATCCCAAACAAGATTAATTTTTACTTATTTTGTTATTCCGTGCATTATTTATTTTTTTTTAGTTTATGTGCTTCGTTTGTTCCTGAAACTGACATTGCACAAATTATGGGAACTGAACGCGTAATTGGAATTAATCGCATACCCAAAGCAAGGTGGAATTTGGTAAGTTTGGATTGAATAAAAATTCAGGGACAAATAAATTAATTTTTTTTTCTGCAGAGATGCGAAATATGCAAAACTAAAACGGGTGCTTGCATACAATGTATTCATGGAAAATGTGTGAGACCGTTTCATCCATATTGCGCTCAACAAGCGGAATATCATCTTCAACAACGTCTCACAGCTTGTGGTGAATTACTCTATGAAGGATTCTGCAAACTCCATGACCCGGTAAGTACTCAGCGTGACATTTACAATTAAAAAGAAGGGTCTCATACGTATTCTGAAAAAATTCATTCGAAAAGTAAAAAGATTATTCTTATCGTTATAATACAGTATAAAAATGATGACAAAAAAAGATATCTCGAAACTAATTACAGGGTGTCTTAAAGCCACCCTTGTAGAGGAAGGAAAAACTATTACTAAATTATTAAATTGGTTATCGTATCTTTAGCGAGTGTTGTTGGAAAAGAAGAAAAAAATGGCCGAACTTTCTTCAATGGTCGAAATCGATCGAGATGTTTGGGCCAAAGCATACGGAGCTTTTTATAAAGGTTTTTTTTCTCATTACTTTATTATATACACGAGAGTCTCCGTACTTCTTTGCCCAATAATAAAGTTCGCATTTCATTTCTTTTGGATCCTAAAATTTTCGTAGGAAAGATTATTGAAAAAGATGATGAGGCACAAAAATGTAAAATATTGTTTATGGATGGGTAGGTAAAAAAAGAAGGCAAAATAACGAAATTTTCTGCAATATAAACTAATGGTTTCAAACGCTACGAAATATTTTTATTTATTCTCTTTTATTTCTTCAAAGTTACGAGAGAACTATTTCTTGGGGATCAATACATTTCGATGACCCAACACTTAACGTTCGTCTAAAACGATGACGACATAATCATCATGACTGGTAGAAAACTGCACTTATTAATTATTTGAGGATATCAATATGTAAAGCTTTTTTTTATTTTGATATCACGAGCATGAGTAATTTTTAGTCAGAAAACACCTTATCCTCCTCTTCCTTTGTAGATATTTCTCCTCTTTTGCTTTTTTTTAAAAAAAAAATTGGTTTAAAAAAAAATAAAGTTGCATCGAGTACATTTCTTGTTCGTTTATTTGTTTTTTGATCTTACCTAATTTATTATATAAAAAACAATCACTTGCCCGTAAAAATCAGCACCTTTTTTCGCCAATTTTGGTTAGAGGTTACGTTTAAACGTTCTAGTAGATTAAGAAATTCGGAGTAACACGAATCATTAATTTATCCAACAAACGATATATGTTTATGATAAACGTTTCATAAAACCAAAAACAAAGGCGTGAACCAATGAGGCAGAACTGATTATAAAAAAAGGTAAAAAGAATTGCATTTTTTACTTTAATAGAGTCTAGTTTCTTGTACGATGCTGTCTATCAGTAAGTGTCGTAGAAGTAATGTTAATAGCATAAATAATTGTATTCTTATCGAAAACTATAAGAGGAGTTTATTTCCCCATTTACAATCATTAATTAAAAGTTCCCCTTTTTATATCAAAAAAAATAAATAAATAAGATTCATAGAAACTAAACGTATTCTTTCCTTTTACGACAAAATAATACATCGATTAGAGTATAACGTTTAAATCCCTGTTCTTCGTGAAAGTAATGCGCAGTAAAATTTTCATAATAAAATTTCTGTTTCTATGGATTACATTAATCAACTCTTCATCCGCCCTTTCAATTCATAAACACACATCAACATTTTCAGCTGGTCTGAAGATGAATCATAGTCATAATTTATTGTCTCCAATATCGACCCAAGCACCTCCTAATGTTTTCACTGTAGTATCGCATAGTGTGACACCTCAACGATTAGATGATGCGAGTAAACAATTGCCCGTTCCAACTAATAAATTTTACGAAAATTTGTTGCTTGATAATGGTACACAACCTGTTTGGCCTCTACCGTACGGTGTTCGTTGGGAAAAGGGACAAACTAACGGAATTTTAGGATTGAGCATTTCGCATGCTGATGATAGTTCAAAGGTAGAAAACCAAAAGGAATAATGATAAAATGACCCAACCCAATTAGATTAAAAACGACCGAATTTTGAAAAAATAATAAACAAATAAACCAAATTTATCTATTGTTTTAGGTTTTTGGACCAGATCCCAATGCTGATCCTGTTAGGTATTTCTATAGTCCATACATTCCAAGTCTCTCGGTATCTGCCGCCGAATTTGACCAGACTCATTCACTAACTGTATCAAAACTCGATGAATTTTCGGCTCAACTACGATTATCTCCATCAAATGCTACTACCGCTTCTTATATCTCCATTCCGATCGTACGTGGAATGGGTTTTATCACCGCACAATATAATCAACTGACACCCGTTTTTAATTCCGCGGTTAATTTCCGACAAATTGAATTAGCTGACAATGCTGAACAAGGCTGGGTGAAATACCGAATTCAGTTGGAAGACGGTAATAACTGGTTGCTTTATGCGAAGCCTCAAAATGCCAACGAATCGTTAAAGCTGAATATGACGAATGCGACTGTCAAAGCGGTATCTGGCGTATTTACGGGTTTAATTCAAATTGCTAAATTGCCTCAAAATAATACTCCTGCTGAGACACTTTACGACCAAAGTGCGGGAACTTTTGCCACTGCTGGCAAGTTAAAAGTTATTAACGATGGGTAAAGTTTTTTTTTTAATGGTTAATTACCATTATTTTTTTGCGTCACTTACCCTTTTTTTAATTATTTTCAATTTTTCTCAAACAGAACCGGAAAATACTCTATCAAATGGAACACCACCGAAAAACAAACAAAACCACTATTACACTTTGCACTTCCTCATCACATTGACTCATTTGCCAACACTGGGAAAGGAGTCGTACGCACAAATATTCAATTGCAATCGCCTACTACCGGAATAATGACTGCTTATCTCGGAAACGAGTGGGTATTCGAGGAAAAACAACTCAATAACGTAGGATTTTTGCCGGAAGGATGGAAATCCCATCTTACACAAGAGAAAATCGACGCGATACTCGAACAAGCGACAAATGATACGGCTAGCGATTTCAAAGCTCAAACTTTGGACAAAAATTCGGTTTACTTTTCTGGCAAAGGCTTTGCGAAACTTGCTCAAGTGTGTTTGATTGTTAACGATGTGCTAAAAAATAAATCACTTGGAGCGGAATGTTTGAATAAACTCAAGGTATGGGAATTATTGTTATTCTTATGTTGATGCCAGCTATTTTTAGAATTTTCTTATCGAAAATATTTTTGTTTATATGCTAGACGGTATTCGAATCTTATATTGTGAATAATCTGACATTTCCGTTACAATACGACGCAACATGGAAGGGAATTGTCAGCTCGGAAGGATTCAAAAATGGCCCTACGGCAGATTTTGGAAATACTTGGTACAAGTAAGTTATCCCATTTTATTAATTACTTCAATAACATGTTTCAACACACAATGACATTAAATTCAAATTTTTTATTTTCTTTAAAGCGACCATCATTTTCATTACGGATATTATATTCATACTGCCGCCATCATTCGTCATCTTGATAAAAACTGGGGCAAGAAAAATGAGGAATGGGTTGATTCTCTATTACGTGACGTTGTTAATCCCTCGTCTGACGATAAATTCTTTCCCACTTTTCGCACATTCGATTGGTTTGTCGGACACTCTTGGTCGAAAGGAATATTCAGCTCAGCTGATGGTAAAGACGAAGAATCCACGAGCGAAGATGTCAATTTCTATTACGCAATGAAACTGTGGGGCACAGTCTCTAAACGAACAAATATCGCGAAGTTAGCGGACGTTATGCTTGCCGTGCAGGCTAGATCTCTGAGAAACTATTTCTTAATGGAGGATGATAATACGGTTCAACCCAAGAATTTCATAAAAAATAAAGTGACCGGTATTTTATTCGAAAACAAGATTGATCATACTACTTATTTTAGTACTCGCATGGGTAAGTTATTTATCTTTTTAAATGTTTATTGCATTTATTTTAAAATATTTTCTCTTATAAATTGATTTATTATTTAGAATGTATTCACGGAATCCAAATGATTCCTACGACCTCAATAACACCATACGTGAGGAGCAATAAATTTGTAAGTTAGATAAAGAGTAGGTTATATTCTTAAATAATCGTTTCCGTATTGATTGTATTGTTTTTATCTTAAAAAAAAAGGTAAACGAAGAATGGGAAGAGGTTCTTTCGTCACTCGTCAATAATATCCCCGATGGCTGGAAATCCATACTTCAGATGAATTACGCACAAGTAAATCCAAATTCTGTATACACTTATTTCTCGCAAAATCCTGATGCACCATTAGACGACGGGTTAACAAGAACTTGGGCTCTGTTTTGGTCTGCTTCTCAAAAACCGCCCCAATAATATCTCACAAGTACATATTCATTTCTGCGCTTCTTTTTTTAACAAATGATTTTTGGTTTGGAAGGGGAACTTTTACTTGTATTTTTAGTTTATAGACAAATATTTAAGAATAATTTATAGATAAAAATCAAAAGAAAAAATTTAACATAATTTTGATCCAAAAGCTGTTGAATTTCTCTATTTACTAGAAATATTAAGTTATGAAATACTTGCACCGTGAATCTTGATTTATTCGCTTGCGGAAACTGTTTACCAAAAAAAATTTTTAGATTATGTGAATGAAAAATTATTCGCATGTTTTCGCAATTAAATTGAAAAATCGTATACTACATTTTCAACTGTACAATCCTTCTTTGATTTCTGTTAGTGCTTCCGTTCAAATATAACGAGACCACCTTTTTTGAATTTACGAAACCCTCTTATAGATTCCGCCCGATATACTGACATTCTAGTAAGAAATAACGATAATGGCATTTTTTACCATTCCGAGTGTGTCACCTTCAACGAGAGGCACTTGTATATGTAGTAGTATACAATATAAAAACAGTAACATTTCAATTGACACAGCACTAGATGAATAACGATATAAAAAGATATTTATAAAAAATATTCCAAAAATTCAATATTAATATTTTGATCTATGGATTTCATTGTCTGTACATGTATTTTGATTGTCATGCACATATCACTAGACTTTCTGAAAAATTTATTTTCCACAATAAAAATTTGGTTTTAAAAAATGAATAATGTACTCCCATATTTAATGTTGATTTCGTGATTCATAAGAAGTTCAAATTATAAATGAAAGAGCTTACCCGATATCACTTCAATTTAGAGCTAATTCTATATCTAGTGATAATATATTTAATTTAAAAAAAGGTTCGACTATATTAGTCTAGCTGATACGTTATTAACTGAAAGTTTAGACTGATTATCGCCTCTTTTTATATTATAATAAAAAGATATTGAGCTTCTTAGCTATTTGTCTTTGACCGTGGTTCGTGCTAAAAATTGAGAAGCAATCTTCGATAACTTTGGTTGCATCACATTTTAATGTTTGCCTTATACTTAATAGTAATAGTAAATGTTACAGTTTTTCAATGACAAGTAAATCATTTACTGTGCGAATAAATTAACTGGGTGGCCTTGTTGGAAGGACTATAGCGAGTTTCATTCTTATGCTAATATATGATATATAAGATAAATTTGGTAAGTTGAAGATCGGGGGAAAGTTCCAAATACTCGACTTAGCGCTTAACGAGTTTGCAATGATAATGATTATAAAAATAAAATCTACAGTATTAGGCTTATTTAATTTCCGAAATCCCATTTCTCCACGTAAAAAGAATTTTCTCTCTTTAGAGATATATTTGGATAGTATCATTTACAAAGATCGCATGCTGTTTCATCCAGAAATCCGAAGAAACCAAAAATTTAGAGAATCACATTTAATGAGAAATTCTATTAATCTTGAAAATTATAGAAGAAAATGTGTTTTGAGCATTATTAATTCATGTTTAGAATAGGCAAAAAGCGACAAATTCATTTACATGTAGTCAATTGAGAAAAGTCGTGACAGCATTCTCGTGACTGCGGTTGAGTCGAATAAGTTAGCAAAACCCGTGGTTGCGGCGTCAGACGTAACTATATTTTGGAAGTAATCACTGGTTTTGAAGGTTTGAAAGAGATTACGCTTTGCTGATTAGAATTGTTGTTGAATTCTCCTTCCCGAATATGGCTACGGTTTGAGTTGCATTGACAGTTTCGACTACAAGCAAATTTATGGTTACAATTGCAATAACGATTCAATCGCATGCCTTCCTTCAAAATTTCAAGCCTTTAGTATTTCCTTAAAACAACCAACGATGTTGCTATGATCGAGGCTGATGAAAGCCTAAGCAATAACAAAGTAGAAAATTGCAATTAATACCGGTGAAATCGCCATTAAGAATTGAATGTTTAAATAGTAGTATTAAATGTGTATAACGATAATAAATTATCGTTATTAAATTAATTAGTATCTTTCTAATTTTTATAGTGGCCTAGTATGATTATGGACAGTAATATTTAAAAAAAATAAAATTTCAAATTCAAAATTCACTACATATCAAACATGGATTGCACTAAGTAAATTTGTTCACAAAATTAAATAAATTTTTGTTAATTATATTACTATTAAATATTAATAATAAATTTAATTTAAAAGTTAAGATATCGATTTTTTATTATTGTTTAAATAGTGAACCTATATTAAAATTTAACTAATCTTATAAAAATTTTCACTGTAATAAAATTTAATGTTACTTGATGCATAAGAATTAATTTGTTTAGTAAAAAAAAGCATGTAACAACTGAAAGATAAATATGATATTATAATGAAGTTAATAATTTTCATTATTAAATTTATGATAAAATATTTTTATAATAAAACCTATTATTTATAAACATAAAGTATTTTTAACAAAATTTTAAAAAATTATAAATTTAAAAACTTTATTTTATTTTATTTTAGAAATATTTATTATAACTTAATTATAAATATAAAAAATAAATTATAATTTAAATATAGTTATATCTCTTTATAATTATTTTAGTTTTACTTTTTTAAATATAATAACTAATAATGATATTCTCAATGAGATGATAAATAAGTATTACATACTTGTAATTAGTAAATTTTAAATTATAGCTAATTGTGACTTAGTAAAAGACTATTAATAAATAAGTATCACATAATTATAATAGCTAATCATAAATTATGATATTTATTATTAATAATAATTATAGAAAAATCTAATTATAATTAATTATTTTTTTAATTTTACAAGTTATATTTCTTTATAATATTATTTCTGAATTTTAGTATTTTAATTTTTTTTAAAATAATTATAATAAGTATTTTTAGTTATAATTTTATTAATTTTGAAATATTATATAATAAAAAAGCTCTTATTTAATAAAATTTAATAATATAATTAAATTTTTTAAATTTTAAAAAATAAAAAGATTTAATTATAATTAATTAATAATTAAAAAACTTAAAAAATAATTATTTTGATATTAAATGAATTTTTATTAATTAATATAGATCAGTGCAAAAAGATTTGTACCTCAATATAAAAATTAATAATTATTTCTAATAAAAATCATTCAAATTTTAATTAATCTTTATAATTTTTTTATATTAAATAAAAAATAATCTAAATTAACTTTTTATACTATTTTAACTATTCTATTAT